GGAGCTCTGGCATGTGACTTCACATCATGGGGAGAGATATTTATCCACATCCTTGTGTTGGACACAGTATGAAACAATCAGCAACTTTTATGGTTTTAGGAGCCAGATTCTTATATGTCACTTTCTCCTTGCTTACATCAAGGTAAGGACAAGGTCAGACCAGACCACTTGTTTGACTTCCAGTTACTGTATAATGCTGTTCTTTGTAAATGTTACCATGTAAAACAGTATATGGGTAGGGAATTGTCACACCCTGCGTTTGTCTGTGAGTGGAATCAAGAGCTTTTTACAGCAAAGCTGATATTGACCCAGAAATAATTGATTAGGTTAAACCTTAAATTTTGTACTAATATATTTTTGGACAATTCTGGCACATTATTACCTTATAAAGTTAAATTGGCTGTTAGTAAGCTGTTGCCTATTTAAACACTGTAGACACAGAGCAAAGTGTATTCATTATTCAATGAATTAAAGTTCAATATTCACTCTCCTTGTAGCTCGGTTTGGCTCTCCACCAGCTTCTGAGAAAACAAGCTTGCTCTTTAGCTGCTAATGCTCTACTTTCCCCACCACAGGCTCTGACAAGCTTTTTTGCTGGAAACAACTGGTGTGTGTGCGCGTGTGCGTCTGTGTACACGTGTATTTACTATTCTTGTGGGGTTCCACCAGCTTTGTGGGAAGCAAAAAGGACCCAAAAAGTTCAAAGTGCTGTTTAATGTTTAAATACTTGATTTTAAGGTTCAGGTTTGAATTAGGTAAGGGTTAAGGTTAGGGTAAGTGGCTAGGGAATTCATTATGTCAATGAGATGTCCCTACAAAGACAGTAAGACATCATTGTATGTATGTGTGCATGTTGGCACTGTGTACCCTATAACCAATGGTACTGAGATATTGTACTTAAGTAAAAGTAGCAATACAACAATGTAAAGATATTCCATTACGTCTCACTCACAGGTAAAAGTCCTGCTTTTAAAAAATTGCTTAAGTAAAAGTAAACAAGTACTGGCAGAAAAAAATTTACTCAAGAGTATCAAACTGTCCCCATTTAAAGTTATATTTTTCATGCATTATTGGAATATTAATACTGATTAATTGATGTGTACATGTAAGCAGGATTTTAAAGTTTAAATTAAAGTTGGTAGTCTAAACTATCTGTGAAGCAAATGTAATGACATAAGTACAATATTTCTCTAAAATGTAGAGAAGTATAATTACAAAGTAGCATATTATGGAAAGACTCAAAATTGTACTTGCGACACAAGTAGTACAGTTGTGTTGGTGGTACCTCCTTTGACTGCTGACGCCTCACCAAGGGTGCTGGGTTCATTTCAGTAGTGGGCCAAAAAGTGTGCAGCAGAATATAGACTGGAGATTTCACATCAAGAACCAATTCACTTTTACATTTACACATTTAAAGCCACTTATGTCAAAGATTGCAAGCCTCTGGAGCAACTATGGGTTAAGTGTCTTGCTCAGTGCCACACACGTCACAGTGAGACGTTTCTTGTGGCAGCGACCTCTATTGGCCTTACAACCCAAACACATGACAACAACAGTTGCGTATTATCAATAGCCAGGAAGTTGTGTTTTAGTAGTGGGTGGAATGATAGAAAGGTAGTCGCTTTTCACTCAGGAGACCGGCATTCAGTTACCGTGTGAAACAAGATTGATTTTTTTTAATGACGTTTCATAGTAGCATTAGCTACGTTAGCTTCGTATCATTATCTAGCTAGCTATGTTAGCGTTAAATGCGTCGACAGCCACCCTGTAGCCCCTTACCCTCACACAAACCTTCACAGGGGTGTGCGCCTAAACTTAAGTCAGTGATTTTATGCATGTCAACCGGTGAACCCAACAACTGTGCAGATTGGCTTCACGGCTGATAGCTCACCTTCTTTTTGTAGCTCTGGTCTCCACGTGTTTATGCCATGTGAGGTAGGCTACGTGATTTCCAAAACAAAAGGTCTGGTTGGGAAACGGAGTTCTAAATTGCCGTTTTGGGAGGCATGGACAAACATCACCGATAGGGGTGCTATTTTAGGGTACAGTCATGTGTGTCGTGTTCGGAGGGTGGTTAATGTTGTAGTTTGGATTGGAGGAGGTTGTTGTCGTTTGTTTAACAACAAAGCCAGCTGAGCTAGCATTGCAATGAATGAAGTTCCACAAAAAGCAACGTGAAAAAAACTATTTCCCACATCTATCCTACTTCTACATTATGTAGACTTAAAATAACTGCTTCATAATTATTTTGATGGTACATAGATTTGCGATTGGCGTTTCTGTCATTGCCACTCAGGACACTGATTATTGGCACTATGTAACGTTGGAATCCCGTGCACAAACGCTTCACGACAACAGCGTAATGGTTTACGGTGCCAACACAACTCTTCAGCAAGCAAGCTATAAGAAGAAGCAAAAATGCAATGTACAAAGTAAGTTCTTATGAAGAAGCTAGCTTGGTATTCTCATTAAGCATATCATGGCAGAGGCTGCAAAGAGACCGTAAAAGACGTTGGAAGGAGGAAGCGAGGAAGAGAAAACGAGAGTGACCGAGCAAGAGACCGGGACAAGTGTAAGTATTGGACTAGCTTTTACTTGTTGAAATGAGCTGAAAGTGTCAGGATTTCGTGGGTGAGCGCAGAGGAGGGGAGTCTAAACGCACAACACTGGAGCAGTGACTCAGTTCAAGGTTTTTAATCCAAATGAAAACAGGTTAACTAGCTTACGGACAGTAGACAGGAAAATCTGGCAGGCAGGCAGGCAGGCAGGCAGGCAGGCAGGCAGGCAGGCAGGCAGGCAGGCAGGCAGGCAGGCAGGCAGGCAGGCAGGCAGGCAGGCAGGCAGGCAGGCAGGCAGGCAGGCAGGCAGGCAGGCAGATGACAGAGTGTAACACACTACAATGACCAGACAAAGACTGAGGGAAACAAGCAAGGATATATACACAGGGATAACGAGCTGGGAGGAGACACACAGGTGAGGGACATGAGGCTAACGAGACACAGGCAGGCAGACAGAGAGCAGGGGGAAACCGAGAGTTACTAACAGGTGCAAAACACACCATACACTAACTGGAACTCAAAGTACTTAGCGGAGAAGCAGGCAGAGGAATTACTGGGGGAACAGACAGAACATTTGACAGGCTGACATGGGGCAAAATTAACAACCAGCACAGACAGAACACATGTTACAAAATACCAGACAAGAATCTAAATTCAGACAATAACAGAAACACATTGAAATTAGACAAACCATGATACAGGGATCATAACAGTCAAAACCTAAACGAGAACCCATAACTAGAACCCAGAATACAGAGCAGACTAAACAAAAATAATACAGACAATGAACTAGAAGCATTGACATGATATGGAACCAAAACCCAGACTCCCCAACAAGACACACAGGATCGTGACAGAAAGAGCTGAAAGGATGCAAGACAGATGGTGATCTGGCTTGCTTGCTGTTGGAATAGTAAGTGATACTGCAGTGTATTGTGTTGTTGCACTTGCTTGATGTTTGGCTGTGTTGGGAACTTGCTAATACTTCATGGTAATGTCATCATAATAAATGCATGTGTGCAGCTGTCATTCTGTATGACAGGGATGAATTACACTCTGAAACGGTCGGCACACCAAATTGCGCAAAAAAAACAAATCTTACATAATGTTGCTATAATTGGCTTCAAATGAGGCTTAACATCACACAGTTTCCAAGTTTGAAGTCATAATCAATCTACAAGGTACACTTCATCGGCCGTATGAGATAATTATTGAGTTAATATGTGGTATACAGTTTGGTTATGTTTAGGCAAAAAAAACTACTTGGTTAGTTTTAGGGAAACATCATGCTTTTGATTAGGTTTGGAATGAAATAAGCAAATTATGTTAAGGCTGATGGGTTGCATTGGAGTTACTTGAAAAACCCTTATCATCTCACACTGACGCTGAAGGGTACTTTGTCAGGCTTTCTTAAAGCATCTGTATTTTACTCCCTAAGATGAGACCGGGCTCCAGTATGTTATGATCCACTAAAGTTAGGCACGAGATTACGAAATGAATAAATCCAAGTTTTTGTTTTATTTTTATGTCTGCAGTCATTTTGACTGTAAGGGAACCGGTGTAGGTACCATATAAGCTCTGCCTGTAGATCTACTCTGCTCGGCTGAGTCCTTCATTTACAGATGATGTAACACACTATGATTGGCTGTTAAGTGTTCATAGTGTGTTCATGACGTACTACCAAATTTTGATCGTGTTTGTGTTTGTCTAGACAAAGAGATCTACATCTAATAAAATTTAACATCTAAAAGCTTGTGTACAGATTGGTCACTGTCAACCTTAATATATTGACTATATTAAAAATCGAAATTAAAAAATCTATCTGGTATTGTAATATTAAAATATCTACTACATATCTATAGAAAGTTGTAATAATGTAAATAATGGCACTATATTTGTTCTAATAAATATTAGTCCCACACTGCAGTAAGATATGTCTGCACAGCACAGAATTAAATGCTGTCTACATTAAATGTAGACCATATAGAAATTATTTTACATTAATAAATATACTCTCTTTATATATACACCCAGTGAACCTACACTGTAAACAAACAGAAATTTTACATTAACATTTTATTAGTTTCTTTCTCTACACAAACAATCACACAAATCAAATCAAAATGTGGTAGTGTGTGGTGTGAACACGCGGCTCCTGTACACTTTTCAAAAATTATCCACAGGACAAGAGGAAAGTGATAAAATGACCTGCCTCTGAAAAAGCTACCCTGGTAAGTTTTTCCCACAAAATCATGTTTTTGTTGCCCTCCATTACAGTCGCACACAGCACTTGGCATAGTTAACAGTGGCTCAATTCCAGCATATTCGTCTACGGTGAAGTACCATAGAAAAAGTCCACCGTAAATACTCTGGTAGCGCTTAATAAAATGTTCCCTGGTGTGTGCAGTCACGCACCTACAAGTTGTAACAACACAATGCAAGTGCAAACAGTCACATTTACTTGGTTTGTATTCAAAATTGGATGAAATTCAAACAATTTACATATATTTAACATGATGCAGGTCTTACATACCGAGTGCTTGTCTTACAATATGTAAATGTCCTGAATCCAAATGTAAGGAAGGTCCTGTACAACTATGGATTTCAACAAAAGCTTTCTCTCACTTCATATGCTCCACATATAGTTGTTTGATTTTATATTTTAAATTTCTTTGCACATTCCACGAGCCACCACCATCTCCACCCCATCTTTCACTCATCAGTCATCACCACATGCAGTGTCCTATGTGAAAGGCTGTAGAGGTCAAGACCACGCTGTCCATCTCTGTTACTCTGTTCATGAATAAACAGAGGCCAGTGTACGGGTGTGCGTGTCCGTCAGGGCGATTACACGAACACGGAAACACACACAAGCGCTCACACAGCCTCGTGCCGACTCCACTGGCATAATTAGAAACATTTGGGATCATTTGCAAAGGGAACACGAGCTCTGATGGGATCCAGATGCACTACTGGGTTTCACTGAAATACAGGAACCCTTATTTACGAGGGGCCATTACTGGCTCCTCACCCAGGGAGGTGTGTGTGTGTGTGAGTGTGCACATACTACCCGGTTTGTCAGGATACTAAATGAGTGTTTGGGGGTGGATCATCCATATTAGGTCAAACTCAGTTTAATAGCTTTTGTATTTGTGGGAAAATGAGGGTTTGTATTCATTGTATTTCTGAACAGTGAACTTGAATTAACTTGGGGGGGGGGGGGGGGGTCAAAAGCAGAAGTTTCCAACACACAGAAAACGTACAGTTCACCATTTTCTTAGTGATTTCAAGATGCAACATATTCTCAACAAAATGTATACCAATGATTATTTTACGGCTTCTTCTGTTGGTGTCAACAAAATGACTCTTCTGGATTTCCTGTGGAGGAGCAAAAAAATCACGCAATTAGCTTCCCTAGTGTTTTCATGAAATGCTCTTAACTGAGAAGTGAGACCTGCAGCAGGGATGATTACTGTTTACAGTACAAAGAGGACAAGCGTTGTCACTTGCAGCACTATGCTGCCACCTTGTGGCTACAAGAGGAACAGGCACTAAAAGTTGGTCAGGGTTGCTTGTGGTTTCACATAATCATGGATCAAACTGGGTTTAGAAGTAGAGGTTCTTTGTCCCGATATGTTGAAAAGACATTAGATTAAAAAATGTTTGGATCCAAGGCTTTAGATTTAATTTAGAAAGTGGTTGGGTTTAGACGAAAGATTGTTGAGATCATGTAAAGTTCATGTCAGCAGAATTTCTCTCTGCCCTTGAATTTGATATGATCCTGTGAAGCATTGCCATGAACCAACAAGGCATAACCAGCCACGAAAAGAGCCATTGCTATTGATATATGATCATATTGCACATTTCTTCAAAAAATTTATCAAATACTCAGTAAAATCAACAGCTTTTTTGTTTATGTAAAACCCCTGGAGAGTCCTCACTCTTGATGGCACATAAGAAGATTTGGTTTAGCAACAGCTTCAGGACTGTCAATAATAATAATAATAATAATGAAGAAGGTCATGACGTGTCAGATCATCCTGTCATACTTTGAAAGATCACTGACCTTTCTGCAGCTTTGTAGGTCATCGATAAAATCAGCTTAATGCATTGATCAGAACACCCGTAGTGTTCATTCTGTCCTCAGTCTCCATCACCACTTCCTGACTGATCAGAGAGCACAGTGTTGCTGTGTAACACTGCAACATCACTCATGTCCCAGTAAACTGATCAATGGAAGGAAGGATCCCTACAGAAAACAGACAAACAGGTGAGGACATTAGGTTTGATGGGTGCAAATGTGTACATCTGAATGTTAGTGTATGTGTGTGTACCTGGTGCAGGCCGACAGAGAGTCAGTCGAACCTCATGTGGTGAAGTCTTGAACAGCTTTAGCACCTTCTACAGAAAGAATAGAGAACTTTTATAATATATGATAATGACGCTGCAGATCTTCAATAATTTTAAAAAGTATCAATTCCATGCCACGTAACTACAAAAAGGTGTATCAGTATTTCCTGTCAGGGTGAAGAAACCTATCCTATTAAAACAACATTTTAGACCATCACATGAGAGAAAAATAACCCACAATAGTCAAATTAATATTTATGCCTGCATATTTATGTGCAATATGGTCAGACTATTGAACCGGCTTTGGTTAAAGGCTCGTCATATAGATCCAGTGCCGTGCTGATCTACCCTGCAAAAATTACATGTAGCCATAAAAAATGCATCATATTAGAGATAGACGACAATATGATTTTAATGAAAGGGCAATAACAACATCATCATCATGCAAAGTAAATTAAAGAAAAGTCCCATCACATCAAGCAAATCAAGGGTTACTGATAAGATTAGTAAACACAAATGGAAAAAAAAACTTAATTTGAAATCTGCACATACTGGATAGGATAGCTCCTTCAGTGACTGCCCATTGATGGCCAACATGACGTCTCCCTCCTGGATCCTGCCGCACTGCTGAGCTGGCTGGCCGGGGAAAAGCTGCTTTATTCGGACCAGCCTGCTGAAGTCCTGAGTTGGGGGATCCAGCTCGCACATTATGAAGCTGAAGCCCAGGCCGTTGGCACTCTTAGTTAGAGTCACTTCCTGGGTGTTGTCTGAGGATTTGGAGGAGGAAGACGGAGGCAGTAACGGAATAATGATGAGGTGAAAAACGATCAGGGATGAAAAGGAATTGGAAGTGGAAGGGTGAACAGAGGGAAGGGAAGAGAAAAGATAGAGCTCATCATCTTTTTTATTTTAGAAAATTCATTGGACAATGTTTATTTTTTTAAATTTTTTATTAAAATTTTTTTTGTCTTGTTGAGACTGAAACTTAAAGGTGCCATAGGTAAGAACGTGAAGCAATTTACATGTATCAATAACCTTGTATTGCCAATGTGTGAACAGATTGTAATGCAAATTAAAAAGGAGAACTTCCCTGACTTTCTTGGTTGCCAGAGGGTGTGACGTTTATGCGCACTCCCGAGTGCTTTCTCGTCCACTCCCCTACAGCCTCAACAGTGTGCAACACTAGCTAATGTTAGCTTAGAAACTGAGTCAACTAACAACAACAAACTACTGGCACTGCCAATAACACAGTCCAACACAGTTCAAAAGTCCAAAGTCAAAACTAACATTACTGCAAAGCATGTGAAACATATTGGGATATTGTAGTTTTAGCTGGCTAATGTTAGCAAACGTTAGCTTGCTTGCTAACACAGAGAAAGCTAGCTAATGAAGCTTGAGCCTTGAGTGTAAAACATAAGCTAATTCATCCAGACTCATGGGGCTGATCTGCTGGTAGATTGGCTAGCCTGCAGGTTGCTTTATCGGCTGGTGTTGTGGCGGCGTACTAATGTTATCACTAGCAAAATACTCTCTGAGTGCATAATCAAAATCTCTCTCTGAAATTTGTTTAGCTTTTCGCAGGAAGACTGCACTGCTTGCGGTGGTGTTTGGTCTGGCAAGGTGGTCAGAAGATGCCGCAGGCAGTGATCGTCTCAAGGTCTGCTGCACCTAATCAAATCCCTTCCTTTTCCGACACTGATGAGTGTATTTCTGTCGTAGGCTGGGGGGGTGTTGTAGGCTGCTGTCTCAATTTACATGTACTCATATGGCAGACACTTTTATCCAAAGCGACTTAAATTTGAGGAATAACATACTAAGCATCAATAAAGCATCAATACAGTAAGAGATCTACAAGTGACCATAGATACTAGTAAGAGCCATAAGAGAATTAACCCCTGTGTAAAACTAACAACTGCGTTCTACTAGCCAAGAGCAATACAAGGCAGGGTCACTGGGATGGGGGAGTGACAATAGTAACTTTCTGACAGGGAAAATAAGATTCAGAACCTACAGGTGGATGATATGGTGCAAGGTTGGGTCTTGTGTTGGACATGCAGCATGTTTCACTGAGAAGGTTATGTCAGTTGCAGCAGACAATAGTCGTCTGTCTGAACTAGCTTGCAGGCGTCGCTTCAATCTGGTGCAGGTATACTAGAAAGGACGGACAGTTTTTCTTTGTTCTACATTTCACACATTACTTTCAGTAATTAAAAAAAACAATAGTTTGTCATTTTGGGAAATACAGAATACACTTCTTTTGGATTGTCTGACTACAGAGTATTAGAGTATTTGTAACATTTCAATAGCATACTGGTTGAGAGTCAACAATTCAACTGTTTCACAATAAAACCGTTTTCTAGGTTTGATTAGGTTTCGGCACAAAATGACCCATCTTGTCAAGGGTATGCTCATGAATTGTCATGTGAACTCTACTGATAATCTGTTAAACATCTACAGACAAAGTAAAACAATTGTTACAAATTCTCTATAAACTATTTCTAGACGGACTATCCAAATATATATTCCCATACCCATTCTTGCTTAGGGCTACCTCTGTAATATCTCATAAAATATAACGCTACAGCAAACAGCTGGTTAGCATAAAGACTGGAAACATGCTAAAACAGCTAGCCTGGCTCTGTCCACCGGTAAAAAAAATTAAAGAAAGATAAGAAGAAGATATTACGAGTTTATACGTGATCTTTAGAGGTTTTAGTAGGCGGATTTTGTTACCTTTGGACAGAGCCGGTTTTCAGCCTTTGTGCAAAACTAAGCTAACCCCCTGCTGGTTGTAGCTGTATATTTACCACACAGATATGAGAGTCGTATCAGTATTTTCATGTACCCTCAACAAGAAAAACATTTCCCAAAATTAAAAACTTTTCCTTAAAGCAGACTATAGTTTTTGCAACAGTTGGATTCATTCAGGAGTTATTTTTTCGGTTCGGATTTTAAAAGTTCTTTTGATTTCAAATACAAATGTGTCAACCATAGGTGTCAACTCAAATATGGTCAGAACAGATTCTCTTGATCACAGAATAGTATTTTTTTCATCACTGGAAATAAAGGCTTGTTATTTCAATATAAAAGAAGTATTACTTGCATGTCCTCGTCAGCCTTCTGTAGACATGATGAAAGGCAACAGAAAAATTTATCACTTATAAAACCATTTTGATAGAATTAAAAATTCAGTTCAGTAACTTTATTCAGTGACAGATATATACATAAAGGTACATACAATGAGCAGCAATACAGGTCTGTACAGAAATGGGTAGGAGGGACATTTTGAAGGTTTAGATGTCAATGGACATTGGCTATTTTGCCATCAGATGTCTTCGGTTAATGGTTGCCAAGATGATAACTTCTAAAAGGGACACCATTGACTCTGTATTAAAACAGGATCATCCTGTCTGTGATGCCTGCCAGATATAGAAGGACAGACCGAAGAATTAGGTGAGGCCAGTTGGATAAGAAGAGGAAAAAGGTCAGGGTCAATAATGAAGATCAGGATGAAGAGAAGGAAGTGTGTGAAAGTTTGCCTTGAAGCAGCCAGACTAGCATGATTGACTATTGAAGCACAAAACAGCTTAAGAGTACTTCACGCAGGTTCTTCCTCAGAAAAGTTTTGAGACATAATGTTCTGTTTCTCTTAGAGAACTGCAGATCGATCTATTGGCAAAATTGTATTTATTATGGAAAGAATGCAAAAGCACAAATGCTCTGCAATTTTTTTCTGAGCAGTTCCCAGAAAGACATCCTGGCCTTTCTTAGCTTGTTGGAGCACTTTTATGCATTTTAGTTCAAGTCCATTGGTGTAAACCTATGCTGAGTTTTCCTACCATCATTGACAAAGCTGTAGTCCCTAGGCCGGTCAGAAATCGTGTTTGCAGGAGTACTGATGGTCGAGTGGCTGTTGATCCTTAGTGGGCTGGTAGCTGGACTGATGCTTTGATTGGAAACACTGCTGCTGCTGGTGTCTGCACTGAGAGAAACCCTGGGTAGGCTCATCAAGTCCCTCTCTAAAACCAGGTTTACCACCTAGAGGAGAAAAGAGGGAATAATGTAATTGAGAGGAACACAAATGAGATAAAACTTTTAGGAAGGAGAGGGAGAGGACAAGAAAACCGCATGAAAGGGGAGAAGAAGAATGAGAGTGGAATGCAAGCGCACCATAAGGCTACCCGAACGGTGTACTTGTTGTAGGTTCCAAATCCCTGCTGCCTGCCAGATCTCTATCTCAGGCATGCAAACTCCTTACCTTTCAGCAAAATTTGCCGTTTTGAAACCAAAATGGGTCACCTACGTGATTTGTGCGGATTTGATGAGAAAATATTTGGGGTCTATATTTTATATATATTATAATACATAATATTTGGCAAACTATAGTAGTTTTCATATTGACCCTGGTGTAAATCATAATTAGTAGTATACCAAATGGACTCTGGTGTATATTACAGGCATGCAAACTCCTCACCTTTCAGCAAAATTTGCCGTTTTGAAACCAAAATGGGTCACCTACGTGATTTGTGCGGATTTGATGAGAAAATATTTGGGGTCTATATTTTAATATATTATAATACATAATATTTGGCAAACTATAGTAGTTTTCATATTGACCCTGGTGTAAATCATAATTAGTAGTATACCAAATGGACTCTGGTGTATATTACAGGCATGCAAACTCCTCACCTTTCAGCAAAATTTGCCGTTTTGAAACCAAAATGGGTCACCTACGTGATTTGTGCGGATTTGATGAGAAAATATTTGGGGTCTATATTTTAATATATTATAATACATAATATTTGGCAAACTATAGTAGTTTTCATATTGACCCTGGTGTAAATCATAATTAGTAGTATACCAAATGGACTCTGGTGTATATTACAGGCATGCAAACCCCTCACCTTTCGGCAAAATTCGCTGTTGATTTGTGCAGATCCGATGAGATGTGTGGGCGGGCTGTCGGTCATTGCAAAGAGAGCATTTAGGCCACCCGTTTTATTTATTTGGAGACGCTGGGGACATGTACCCACCACTTTTTGAAATGGCTGATTTTGTCCCCATCACTTTTTAAAAACATAATTTGTTTTAAAAAAATTCTGAAATATAGCTTGTAGTTAAATAACAAATGAAAATACCTTTAGAAATGTTTATTTGCACATTAAGAAAACATGCAATGCAATTAAAATATAGAAGAAACAAATGTGCAATGTCCAAAACAAAAAAGTAACTTAAGCTAAAAAAAAACAACCAGTAACCTAACTTTAACAACTTCTTGTCACAGTTTCTTTTTGGCCAAGTTTTCCGTTCTCTCCCTTCGAAAATGACAAAAGAGGAGGGAAGACTAAATCATGCCTGCATGTGTGTTGCCTCAGCAGGGATGATATTACATGAAAAGTCGATCTACTGGAGAAACAGATCTGAAAGCAACACAGAATGACTGAGAGCTGCACTGACTTAGATTCTGTTATATTTATATATTTTAAAATGTCAAATGCTTCCTGAATTTTGTGTTTCCTTTTACATAAATAAAAACATTTCCACCATAAATTGTTGAAGAAAATGAAGTGTTTCATAATCAAAATTTCCTGCGAGAGGTCCCCCCAGACACCCAGCTCATATATCTTGGCATTAAGGATATGTTAAAACACTGTTTAAGGATCTTTTGTTTAGTTTTCGTGAACATAATATTGTTTATCGTGATATCTTGCCAGCTAAGTGTCTCTTCACATCCCTAAACTGAGCCCTTATGTCCCCACCACTTTTTAACACA